GTGTGCGAGTGGAGGCTGGGGGTGGGTGTGTCTCTGTGTGCGAGTGGCGGCTGCGTGTATATTACTGTTTCAGCATCTTTGTGAGTAGGGATGAGTGTATGCACAAGTGTGTGTGATCACAGTTTGTATGCATAATTAATTATTTCAACCATCGATAGTCAGTGTAAAGTTCCAGGCAACTGTCAGACTGACATCTTGTTTGTTTGACAGGAGGTTCCCTCTAGAAGATATTCCAGAAGATGAGAACGAATGTGCAGCTTGGCTCCATAGACTCTACCAGGAAAAGGTAATGTCGTACTGATGGCTTGGGTGAAATGTCAGTTATAATAATTCCTGCAGTGTGGAAACAGGCCATTCGGCCCAATAATTCTGCACTGACCCGCCGAAGAGCATCCCACCCAGACTCACCCCACCCTATCCCTGTAACCCTGCATTTCCCATGGCTAATCCACCTAACTTATACATTCCTGGACACTATGGGCAATTTAGCATGGCCAATCCACCTAACCTGCCCATCTTTGGACTGTGGGAGGAAACCCACGCAGACACAGGGAGAAAGTGCAAACTCCACACAGACAGTCATCTGAGGCTGGAATTGAACTCAGCTCCCTTGTGCTGTGAGGCAGCAGTGCTAACCACTGAGCCACCTATAATGTGTAACCAAGATGAAATGTTAACTCGGCATGTCCTCTCCAATCCTTACGCTCACTCGGGTATGGGACCCATGCACACTGACACTCACTGGTATGTGTTAAATGTTGTTTGGTTTGTATTAGATCATCAGTAAGTGGAATGAATGTCACTGGATAACTGGCACCTGCTGTCCCTTTGTGTGTCAGTACCTATTGTAAGAAGTAGGGGTGGAACTGTGAACTATCAATGCATAGCAACAAGTGTCAGGTATTTTTTAAAGTACTACTGACTTCAGTCCCCTATGTGCTGCTGCTGGATGTGAATCCCGACTCTGAACTCTGCTCTCACTGAGCCTAAAGCAGGCAGTGAACTTCAGTGTGGATTTCCCAGAACTTTATTCTTAATACAGCTCTTTATCTGAGTATGTAATTATGGCCAGAGAGTCATGGAGGTCTACAGCAGAAAAAAAAGGTCCCCTTTGGCTCATTGAGCAGTCAAAAACAACCACCTAACTATTTAGAGATAGTAGGAACTGCAGAGAGAAACTCCTTTGTCTATCTCTTCATAACTAAAACACTTCAGCCTCAAACCTCCTGTGCAGTGTCTGATTGCATTCCATTTGCCTCTTACCAGCCCATCTATATCATTCTAAAATCTAAAGCTTTTCTCCTCATTAATTATTACCTCACCAATTTTCATTTCATCTATGAATTCCTGATTGACCCTCCTGCATTCAAGTCATTTATATATACCAAACAGCAAGGGCTCTAACACTAATCCCTGAGGAGCCCCACTGAACACAGGCTTCCAGACACACACACACCCCCCTCAACCATCACACTGTGCTTCTTGCCACCCAGCTAATTCTTGACCCAATTGGCCAAATTGACTTAGCTCTTATGGGCTCTTGCCTTCACCCCCAGCCTCCTATGTGAGACCTTATTAAAGGCCTTGCTAATCCCCAGTAGACTACATCGAATGTATTGCCGTAGTTATGGACAGGCCAGACCCCCTCAAAATACAGTACGAATGTAGCCCAGACCCTAACCTTTTCTTATTTAAAGGTAAATGTAAAGTGCTGTGTTCCAGATGCAATTCGATTGGCCAAACTACTCGACATTAAGCAAAATCACAATTTATTCACACACTATAGTTAAAATGCAACAAAAGACAGAATAACAGAAAAGAACTTAGCTTGGTTGTAACTGTATCGAAATGCTTACCAAAATAACAGATACAGTACATATTACTAAATAACTGTTCCAATCATCCCATAAACACAAAAGGCAAATTCAGAAAACAGATTGTCACGCATGTAACTCCAGCAGCCCAGGAGGAGAAAAACATCATGAGAACTCAGAGTGTAGCAGGGAGAGATGTACTGCAGCAACAGACCAAGCGACAACTGCCACTGAAAAACTAAAACTAAAAATCCAGACATGACTGCGCCTTAAAAAAAACTGACTGATTAATTACTGTCTCTCCAAATGCGTATTAATTCTGTCCCTTAGAATATTTCTCAGAAACTGTGGTTAGACTGTCCAGCCTGTTGTTTCCTGATTTATCCCGCATTTATCCCTTGCTGCCTTCTTGAGTAATGGTGTCACATTGGCTGTTCTCCGGTCCTCCAGCATCTCTCCTGTGGCCAGAGAGGAACAGAAGATTATTGCCTGCCTCCCTGCTATTTCTTCCCTTGTTTCATTCAACAGCCTGGGATACATTTCAGCCAGCCATGGAGATTTATTCTACTTTTAATCCATACATAAATTCCTCTCTGTCTGATATGCTTTAAGAAATTAGAGTACAGTCCTTCGCTCTGATATCTATATCCATATCATCCCTCTGACTAGTGAACACTGACACAAAGTATTCATTGCCATCGGGAGACAGAACAGGAATGAGGTCTGAAAGATAGTTGGAACTAGACCCTTCTTCAGAAACGTCAGCTTTCCTGCTCCTATGATGCTGCTTGGCCTGCTGTGTTCATCCAGCTTTACACCTTGTTATCTCAGAAATGAGGTCTGGTTGCCCCACCCCAACTCCGTATTGACTTTGACTCTCCCTCTTGCACTGGTTTCTCAAGCTCCTTCTCCCCACACTGCCACTTCCGGTGAGCTCGTCATTGACCTTGTCTGATCCCCTTGCCTGCCCACCACCATCTTCGCCCATCAAACTTGCCTTGTTAGCTGTCAGTCAAACTGAAGAGTTAATAACTCTGTAGTCCTCAGACCTCTTTCCAGTTCCTGTTAATCAGTCTGTGTGGTGTGCCCCAATGTTGTTCCTACCTGGGAGTTGCTGAGCATTAAGACAATAGTGCTCTTTCTGTCCTAAATCCATTCCCACACATCCCACTGGGCATTTGGGAAAGCTCTGCCTTTAGCTACTGTTACTGTTCTTTTTCTCATTGAGTCTTAGAGAGCCATACATGTCTATGCTGACATACAAACACCAATCTACACTAATCCCATTTACTTGGTCTATAGCCTACCATACCCTGACATTTTAAGTGCTCATCCACATGCTACTTAATGTTGTGAGAGTACCACCCTCTCAGGCAGCACGTTCCATATTTCTACCACCCTGTGGGTGAAAAATCTTTTCTCACTGCTGTTTGTTATTCTGAGGTGGTGTAGGATGAAACTCCATCCTTTACTCATTTTTCTGCTTCTCATGTGTTCCTTTTGTCTATTGAATTTATCTCTAAATTGTAGGGTGACATGGGGGCGGGAGCTAACGCTGGGAGTCGTTTTGCATAGACCTGAGTCCAGCCCACTTGGTGAGGTAGAAACCTGTTGAACGGGACTGTGCCTTTCTCTCTTTACCAGGATGCACTCCAGGAGCAATACGTAAAGGATGGTACATTCCCTGGACAGCCCATCCAGCCGAGACGCCGACCCTGGGCCTTCCTGAACTGGCTGTTCTGGGTCATTGTGCTCCTGACTCCACTCTTTAACTTCGTGTTTGGAGTGTTTGTCAGCGGTTCTCCCGTTGTCATCTGTTCATTCCTGCTGTTCGTCGGAGCAGGTAACATTTCAACCAAATAATTGCTGGGAATACACGCCTGGACATGAGTGTAGAGAGAAACTGAGTTAAAGTCTCAAGTATTTCTGATATGGTTTTATTCCAGATTTTCAAAATCTGCACAGAATCATGGCAGTGAGCAGCTGGAGTTAGGCCACTCAGTCCCTTAAATCTGCTCCACCTTTCCATAGGGTCGCAGCTGATCTAGTTGTGGTCTTGGGTCTACGGAGTCTCCTGTCTGTCCTCCATAACCCATGACCCCCCTTGGAGACCATCACTCTATCGAACACAGCCTTGAATAAATGACCCAGCCTCCGCTTCTCTGGGGAGGAGAATTCCATAGACTGATGACCGTCAGAGCAGAGAAAAACAAAATCTCCTCGTTTCTATCTTATAAGAGTGACCTCTTTCTCTTAAACTGCATTTGCTGGTTCTAGTTCCTCCACAAGAAGAAACAATCTCTCAGTTTTTTTTCCTATCAGATCCCCACAAGATCTTATCTGTTTCAGTACAATCACTTCTCTCTTCAAAGTTCCAGTGGACACAGGCCCAAACTGTGCAGTTTTTCCGAGTAAGATACATCTTTCATCCCGGAAATGAGTCGAGTGAAGTTTCTCTGAACTGCTTCTAATGCACTCATATCATGTTCAAATAAGGGCATCAAGACTGTATACTGTGCCTGGATGTGTTGTCATTATGGCCCTGTACAGTTGTAGTAATGCTTGAACAAAGAACAGTACAGCACAGAAACAGGTACTGTGGCCCACCAAGACTGTGCTGACACATGATGCCTTTCTAAACTGAAAACCTTTTGCCTCTCCGTGGTCCGTACCCCTCTATTCTCTGCCTGTTCATATATCTGTCAAGATGCCTCTTAAATGTTGCTGTTGCATCCACTTCTACCATCTCCTCTGGCCATGCATTCTAGGTACTTACCACCCTCTGTGTAAAAAAACCTGCCTCTCACGTCTCTTTTAAATGTATCCCTTTTTACATTAAACCTATGTCCCTTAATAATTGACATTTCTATCTTGGGGGAATAACGTCCAATTATTCATTCTATCCAACCTCTCATAATTTTATAAACTTCTGTCAGGTGACCCCTCATCCTTTGACGTTCAAGTGAAAGCAAACTAAGTTTGTCCAGTCTCTCCAAACCTGGGAACATCCTGGTAAATCTTTTCTGTACACTGTCCAAAGCCTCCATATCCTTCTGGCAGTGTGGTGACCAAATCTGTACACCATATTCCAAATGTAACCTAACTAAAGTTCTATACAGCTATGAAATGACTTGCCAATTTTTAATACACTATGCTCCAACCGATCAAAGCAAGTGTGCTGTTTGCTTTTTTGACCATCTTATCCACTTGTGTTGCCACTTTCAGGGAGGTGTGGACCAATACGCTGAGATCCCTCTATATGTTGATGTTACTAAGGCTTTGGGGAGAGAGAACATGACTTACATGTTGTAGGATCCCTAGTCTCTGAGCTGCAGCCGCTATATTTATATGGGTCGTCCAGTTCAATTTCTGGTCAGTGGTAACTCCCAGGATGTCGGTTGGGGATTCAGTGATAGTTATGCCATTGAGGGGAGGGAGATCTGCTGTCCTTATCAGGTCTGGCCTACATGTGACTTCCAGTTGTGATTTGCAATGTGCTTCCAGAAGGTGGAAGTGGATTCAGTCATTATGGCCAAGAAAGAATTGGATAAATAATTTTGCAATGCTATGGGCAAACACCAGGGGAGTTGCCTCTTCCTGTGCTCTTTCAGAGTGTTCTACCTTGTGGGAGTCTGAAATGAATTCTGAGCCTATAGGCTGGTCGAGTTCTGCCTGGTTAATGTGTAGGTTAATCTCTGAACGTAAGCACTTGCTACTAAGTCCTGAGATTGTTGTGAATAATATGTAACATGTTTTTCAGCATAGTGTGTCTGCTCTGATTTTATTATTTACTTTCCCTGTTTTTACAGCATCCTTCTGTGTACGAAGGCTTATTGGAGTGACAGAGATTGGAAAAGGCTCTAGTTATGGAAATCAGGAGTTTAAGAAGAGGATGTAGAAATATTAATGGAAACACTTCCGAGCTGCTTACTGAAAATAACTCCGTGAATTTTTTAGGAATGTTTTGGTCTCAACTGACAGCAACTAACAGTGGCCAGGAGCCAGAAATTGGCTGCTTCACGATCAACTCCTGAATGGACAGCTACACTAACCCCCTGTCCACATTACTGACACCTACCCTCTCTCATGGACTACACTTTACTCAGACACAATTCTCCACTCTCAACATCCCTCTCACTGGCTTCACCCTCATCCTAAGTCAACTCACTCTTTACCTCGCCTTTCATTTTTTTTTCACTAGCTTGCTATCTCTATCTCGAACCATGCTCTATTTCTCACACAGCCTCTCCATCTCATGTCCCTCTAACACTCTCCTCTCTCCAATTGCTTTCATCCTCCACTGCCTCCATTTTAAGTTTCTGTGATGTGTCAAAAAGTTGTGTTTTTCAGGAGAAACTGAGACCGCAATGGTCCACTCTCATTACTTTTGATGATGTCTACTGACTGATCATGTTACATGCCCACACTCGGTCCTACAGTGCTGGCCTACGTCACTCCACTGACACTTCACTAATGGATCAGTAACCAAGGACTTGGAATGTAATCTGTTGTTGTTTACTGATGTGACTGACCTACTGAATTTCTACTTCAGGGTGGGTTTCTCTCATCTACAATACACAGTAGTAATTTTCTGTCTCTGAGTGAGCAATACAGTGACCTCTGTCTGCACACACAAACACCCTCCTCCTATACACTTCTCCAACTCTGAGCTGATGTTTCTTTCTCCAGCTGTTCTAGCATCTTCTTTCGTACCCCTCATTTCTCTTTTTCCCCCTTGTCCCTTTCACTGCCACTAAAACCAAAACTTTTGCAGAGAATCCAGTTCTCATTTTAATTTAATCAAATTACATAACTGAGTGTTGAAGCATGAAGTGGAGAGATCAAGAAGGTAATGTGAGCCAGGGGTGAATGTGGATCTCTCTCCAAGTCCTTAAACTGACAGTACCCAGGATCAGAACACAAGGACTTCTGAGGGAGCTGGAATTGACTCATTGCATCTGCATGGGGCACAGTGCTCAGAGCATCTTCCTGTCCCAATCTTGAGTTTATGTTGAGCTGTGTAACCGAACCCACCTGAACCTCCCCCAAAAAAGAAAACAAAAAATAAAATTTGGGTCCCAGTAGAGGACAGAGTCAGATCCTTTGATCTGCTCAGACTGAGTGTTATTCACTCAATGGTCTGATGGAGGTTGAAGGAAAGTTCTACCCCTAATAAAACATCCCCAGTTATCCGGTTTTGTTTGAATCCTGGCAGCAATTATTACCTTCCTCCTCACTTCCTGATCCCAGTGGAGCAGATCTGTATTCTCCACTGGGACTGTTCTGCTGTTAACCCAGAACTGGAATCAGGGGAAATGTTGCAGATCAGGAGATGATCCAAGTCAATATTCAGGAAAGCACCTTATGGATTATCCATGAGAAAGCAAAGCTTCACGGTGGATTCCACTGATAGCAGGAATCTGGGCAATGAACAGCAGGCTGCCAAGTATTCACTGGAATTGAGTGAACCAGAAACTAATTGCAGTTTTTGCATGTATCTTTTTGCATGTATTTTTAATCTTTGACAAACTCCATTTTGGGGGTCTTTGCGTACCCTCTTGTTTTAATCCCACACTAATACCTCCTTTACACTCTGAATATTAAGTGTTAAAAACTTCTGACTGCTCTGAGTTTGGATCACAGTCAAGTCCCACTTGTTACTCTCCTTAAAGGATTGAACAGCTTCATCCTTTGAGGTAACTCTATTCCATAACGGAGAAGCTGCCTCTGTATGTCTGCATTCTTTGCGCATCTCTGTTTCTGTGGCACCTGCTTTTACTCAGTCTGGGTGGTATCTATTTTCAGATGCTAGCCCAAACAGATTTCAGGCTCAGAGTTTAAGTGGATGAGCTGGAAAACAGTAGCTCTGTAATAAAATGAAAGTCTCCTAGGATTGTATCTGTCACTTGCACCTTTCTCAAAAAGGGCTAGTGTTCAGCTGAGTACTATGAATCTGATCAGAGTTGTTGCTGAGTTATATTTTTTTGAAAGAAAACCTAGTTACAGTTACTGGTCACCTCTGCAAATTGACCTGAATTTAACTGAATAACTGACTTGACTGTGCAGACCCCCCACCCAACCCTTTACATGCCCTGGACCAGCTCCCTCCCCAGCCTGGGTGCAGGTTAATCCTAACCATTTCTCCAAAGTGTGCAGCCCTCCTCAAAAGAGTTACACTGTGAGCAGGAGAGTGAGCTGCCCATGAGTGGATTTGCTCATGTACATTTTAGATGAATGGGGGAAGGACGATTCAAAATAAAAATAAAACCTACACATTTTGGTGCGATGAAAGGGCAAACACCAGAAATTCATAAAAAATAGAAGGCACAATCGTGGACACAAAAATACTGGGGACGTGTGGCTGCTTAATAATCCAACCTCAGCTGGATTGTAATGATTGCAAACCAGTTTAATTGTGGGATTAAAACTGCCCATAGTTGAGCTGGGAGGTGGTGTGTGTTGCAGGTATGGGTAACCTGCATACAGAAGTAAGCAAAAACTCAATTAATTCCTTTGAGGGAACAGTGGACACAAGCCTTTAAAGTGCAAGTCTGAATAGACTGTGGTCTAAGCCAGCGATGTGACCAGTTTGTCTCACTGGGATTGCAAGCTGCTTGCAGCAACATTGGCTTTGGTTGAGTTTTGTTTTCACAATTCCTTGCTTTGTAACAAAAGCAGCACGCAAGAACGTGGTAAGGTAGGAGCATCATTTCAAGCTTGTTAATACATCATTCTGTACTCTGAGAGGCAGCTGTATGCTGTCTAGCCATTTTTGTCCTTCCTATGAACAGTCAGTGCAGATTGTAGCTGTACATCCTGTGCTGTCCCTGTCCTTTGAGTGTTTGATGGGGACAGTGTAGAGGGAGCTTTACTCTGTATCTAACCCCATGCTGTCCCTGTCCTGGGAGTGTTTGATGGGGACAGTGTAGAGGGAGCTTTACTCTGTATCTAACCCCATGCTGTCCCTGTCCCAGGAGTGTTTGATGGGGACAGTGTAGAGGGAGCTTTACTCTGTATCTAACCCCATGCTGTGTCCCAGTCCTGAGAGTGTTTGATGGTGACAGAGTAGAGGGAGCTTTACTCTGTATCTAACCCCATACAGTATGTGTTATAGGAGTGTTTGATTAGGACGTTTGTAGAGGAAGTTTTACTCTTAACCCTGTATCTGTACTCCCAGTATACTTGGATTAAAAACCCCTCATGGGGTGAGGTTTGTTTATTGCCATTTTCTCCTACAGTCACACACCGTCTTTTAGCAGCCCTGACTCTGAATGTTTGTTTGTTCTTCCCTCTGTTAAACCGTCCTGAATAATGTTAATGTGGCCTGGTGTACCTGTTAGTGAGGTTTTACTGTACACTGGAGCCATGGGGTTTGTGTATGTTGGAGTTTTGCATTGATGAATCAGTGTATGAACAGTTACTTGAATGGGGCAGGATCCTCTGTTTTCCTGTCATTTGGCCTGTGGCCCTGAGCATTTGTTTCTCTCCATTTTGCATGTTCTGCTAAATATATACAAGGACTTTCAGGGATTTAAAACATTGAACTGGATGAATCATGCACCAGCTTCACCAGACTGGGCTGGAAGCTGCGTATAACCTTGCATTTCAGAATAAACAAATAAGCCGTTCCAATCAGCCCATTTTGGATTTAGTGCTGTTGTTGGGAAGAAAGTGACTCGAACCCCATTAAACCCCTTTCCCTCCACATACTTCCTGACCCATCCCTATCTTCTCCTAACCCTGTCCTTTCTCCCTCACTCCCTGCCTTCCTTTCCTCACTGTCTCTCTGTCTCTTCCCCTCTCTACTTCACCCCTCTCCACACTCTTGGACAGGTGACTAGAGTTACCTCAAAGTCTGTTTTAAAGGTGGTTTTACAGAGAGCAGGTGTAGACTGTTCAGCTGTTTGAGTTGCCTGCGCCATTCTTTATGAGCATTGTTCTGACACAGCAGTCCTATCCCTGTATACACAATATTGCAAAATTAAAACAGTGACCCTCAAAATTGACCCCATAGGTTCTTAACCAGACTTAGTGAATAATCAATATCCAACACCAGGTTTACAGCTTGAACAAAAGACTTAACATTTTATTACTCAAACAGTAACTTTAGCAAAGTTAAGAAACAAGGTAATCTGATTATGATTTAAACCCCACCATCTTTGATTCTAGCCTGACACAGAGACACACGACTAAGGGATAAATTAAAAGAAAAAATATAAATGAGATGTAATTGGACAGTTCACTTAAGCACTCTCCACGAATCGCGAACATCACAGGCCTATGGGCTTCAAACAGCTTCCAGTAGGCCCCAAGGAATATTCACTTAATATTTATAACTGAGATTCTATTCTTCAAGCCTTGCTAAGTTGATAATGGGAGGACAACCAAGGAACAATCAAGGTTCCATCCTCTAGCTTTTGAAGCCATAATCCGTCTACCTTAAATGCAGTTCAAAAACCATTTCAAACATTGGTTTCTCCTTGTTAGATTGGTATTCCTCCCTTGAGGTCCCAGTTGATATTCAAACATTTGTTGTCTGCCTGAGGATAGTGCATCTTGGGAAACAAAATGTCTAGAACATTCTTTGAACAGGAAATCAACCTGCAATTAATTTCCAGGACTGGCCTCCTAAACATCAGTTTGTTTATTCTCTTGTCTGAAACAAGCGGCTGCTGACGGTCCAAAGGTCACCTTCAGCTCTCAGTTCACGGTTCATAGCTCCAAACCAAAAATGATAGGAAAAGAAATAAAATAATGAAGGTCTCAACACCGTGGCTGATCATCCAATTCAGTACCCTGTTCGCACTTTCTACCCATACTCCTTGATCCCCTTAGCTCTTCATGGAGGTGCTTGTTACACAGTGGCAGTGCCCCTATCTCTGAGCCAGGAGGCCTGGGTTGAAGTCCAACTTGCTCAATGAAGGTTGATTTAAAAATACCTCGATGAAGGTTTTGATGAATCAATCCCAGGGAATTGGAAAGTAAGTGGGGAAAATGGCTGTGCTCAAATGCTTTCAAAAACTCCATGTACACCTCAAAACTGCATTCATCTCATCAACCCTCTCTGACTTCAACATAACCTCAGCAAATTGGCTAAACATAGTTTATTTTGATCAAATCTGTGCTGGTTTCCCTTAATTAATCCATAGTATTATTAAGTTTGCCCTTTTTAATGTTTTCCCATCCTAGATGTGACAGGCTAGAGGAATGTTTTTTGCTGTGGAGAAAGTAGTTTTGAGCTGTCATCTTGAACTACTGCAGCCATGTGCTGTTGGGACTGTAGCACTGTGCCCGTTGTGGATTTGCTGTAACTTTGTCTTTTTGTTGATCATGATCTTCCAAATCACCAAAGATTCAAAAATTAAACTGGAAAATTGGCAATGGTATTGAAGAAGGATAGAAAAGATAAATTACAGAATTATACACCCTAAGTCTGTCAGTTGTAAGGAGGTGACTAGAATCTGTTATATATTTGAGAAAGTGTGAACTGATAGACAACCAGCACGGGTTTGTAAGGGGGTAGGTCATGGTTTAAAACAATTGAATTTATTGATGAAATGACTCGTGTAAAAATGAAAGTATCAATGTGATGTGAAGTTCCACTTAACAACAGTGGGTCACAAGGAGTTGGAGGCAAGCTAATGGCTTTAAGAAGCGTTGTAGGAGGAAGGAAACAGCAGAGATAATGGAGACATATTTCCACTGTCAGGATGGGATGGGTGGTGTCTGCACTAAGGCCTTGAGCTTCCTGCAGTATTTCTAAGTAATTTGGATGAAGGTATATTCACGTTTGTGGCAATGCTTGGTTAGACAGCACAGTAAATTACGAGGACAGAAGCACGCATGTACAGTGGGACAATGTCACAGTCTCTTCACTTAATCAGCATTCAGTGTAGGTTAGTGAGACTTAAGACTCAAGAAAGATCAATGAGAAACAAAAACAGAAGTTGCTGGAAAAGCTCAGCAGATCAATGGGAATGTTTTGTGAAACTGGAATCACTAAAAAAAACAAGAGGAGAGATGCAAAACAAAATCAAAAGACCAACCTTCCATTAGCCCATTTATTTCAAGAAAGCTGCAAGTTGCTTCACTGTCAATATAAAACTCTGCTGGTGCCAGAGCCAGGGTGTGTGTGTGTTTATCTCAGCCCTGTCTGCATGGGTGGACTGGCACTGGTGAATGGTGTGCTGATTCACTTGGTGGAAACTGGGCTCAGAGAGGGAAGTTGTAGGTGGTTTTTAAGCAACTTGTTCAGATATGACACACCTCTGGAGCAGGTGAACACAGGCCTTCAAAGGAAAGAATTTCACCACTGTGCTGTAAGAGCCCTGAACAAACAGACATGAGAAAACACGGCTGTGTTTGGGCAGCTGTTCTTGTGTTTAAGTGAAAACTAACCTGCCGGAAACTCATTTCACAATCTGTACCTTTTGGAACAAGGGATGTGTTGTTAGGTGAGCTTGTATAGAGTTATTTTATATTCTTTTGAGAACTGCAGATTAAGAAGTGTCCTAATTAAAGTCATTAAGAGGATTAAGGGATTTAATGGATGAACAAAGCGGAATTACTTCATCCAGTTGGTAATTCCAGAACATCAGCATATCCTTTTGAATTTGAGCCACTCTACTCCCGGGTGATGCTGGGAAAAATCTTCCTCACAAACAGGGAAGTGGTAATCTGTCCAGGAATTAACTGAGGGGTTTAAGGGTCACATAAAAAAAACATAAATAGATGGAGTTAAGATCAATTCAGAATTCACTGAATGCTGGAAGAACTTGTTGGGAAGGAGAAATCTTTATGTGGGTGGGGCGGGATATGCTGAAGTAAACAACAATTTCTGACTCCACAGTGTTCCATCCTCACCAAGGCAGGGATGTTGTTAGGTGTGCATAGATTGTTTTCAGAAAACATCTGCCTCACTAATATCCTTGAGGGAAGGCAACTGCTGTCATTATTTGGTCCAGGGGTGTAGTCTATATGTGACTGCAGGCCCACAGCAATGTGGTTGTCTCTTAATTATGCACTTGGCATTAAGGATGGTTAATAAAGGCCATCCCAGCCGGCAACGCCCGCTTTTCACGAGCAAATAATACAAATTCTGCTCTATAGAAAGGACTAATGATGGAAGTGGAAATTTTTCTTTAAAACATGGGCATCACTGGTTTTTTTTCCATTCATTTCGTGGGATGTGGGCGTCGCTGGCTGGCTAGCATTTCTTGCCCATCCCTAGTTGCCCTTGAGAAGGTGGTGGTGAGCTGCCTTCTTGAACCGCTGCAGTCCACCTGCTGTGGGTTGACCTACAATGCCATTAGGGAGGGAATTCCAGGATTTTGACCCAGAGACAGTGAAGGAATGGTGATATATTTCCAAGTCAGGATGGTGAGTGGCTTGGAGGGGAGCTGAGAGGTGGTGGTGTTCCCATGTATCTGCTGCACTTGTCCTTCTGGATGGAAGTGGTCGTGGCTTTGGAAGGTGCTGTCTGAGGATCTTTGGTGAATTTCTGCAGTGGATCTTGTAGATAGTACACACTGCTGCTACTGAGCGTCAGTGGTGGAGGGAGTGGATGCTTGTGGATGTAGTGCCAATCACGCGGGCTGCTTTGTCCTGGATGGTGTCAAGCTTCTTGAGTGTTGTTGGGGCTGCACTCATCCAGGCAAGTGGGGAGTATTCCATCACATTCCTGACTTGTACCTTGTAGATGGTGGACAGGCTTTGGGGAATCAGGAGGTGAGTTACTTGCCGCAGTATTCTCAGCTTCTGGCCTACTCTTGTAGCCACTGTGTTAATGTAGTGAGTCCAGTTGAGTTTCTGGTCAATGGTAACTCCCAGGATGTTGATAGTGGGGGATTCAGTGATGGTCAAGGGACAGTGGTTAGATTGTCTCTTATTGGTGATGGTCATAGCCTGGCATTTGTGTGGCACGAATGTCACTTGCCACTTGTCAGCCCAAGCCTGGATATTGTCCAGATCTTGTTACATTTGAACATGGACTGCTTCAGTATCTGAGGAGTCACAAATGGTGCTGAACATTGTGCAATCGGTGAACATCCCCACTTCTAACCTTATGATGGAGAGAAGGTCATTGATGAAGCACCTGAAGATGGTTGTGCCTAGGACAGTACCCTGAGGAACTCCTGCAGAGATGTCCTGGAGCTGAGATGATTGACCTCCCACAACCATGACCATCTGCCTATGTGTCAGGTATGACTCCAACCACTGGAGCGTTTGCCTCCTGATACCCATTGATTCCAGTTTTGCTAGGGCTTCTTGATGCCACACTCGGTCGAATGCAGCCTTGATATCAAGAAGCTGTCACTCTTACCTCACCTCTGGGATTCAGCTCTTTTTTCCATGTTTGAGCCAAGTCTGTAAAGAGATTAGGAGCTGAGTGGCCCTGGCAGAACCCAAACTGGGTGTCACTGGGCAGGTTATTTCTGAGCAGGTGCTGCTTGATAGCACTGTTGATGACACCTTCCATCACTTTACTGATGATCAAGAGGAGACTGATGGGGCGTTAATTGGCCAGGTTGGATTTGTCCTGCTTTTTGTGTACAGGACATACTTGGGCAATTTTCCACATTGTCAGGTAGAGACCAGTGTTGTAACTGTACTGGAACAGCTTGGCTAGGGGAGCG